ACACACACACACACACACACACACACACACACACACACACACACACCAAAGAGCTGAGAGCTTCCTACAGGTTGGATTTTTTTAAGTTCTGTTACTATTTCCTTCCCCATTTTTCTGTTTTTCTCTTCTTTCTAGATCAAGTATATGGAATTGACAAAAGAGAGAAAGGTGTTTCGATTATAAACCAAAACCAACAGCAAGAATGATTTCCAGATTTGGTCCCTGTCAAGGTTGACAGCATCTGGGAGAGGACAGAGTGTGTGTGAGTGTATTTCTGGTGTCCACCTGCTGTTTCAGGTACAAAGAGCCACGCCAGATGTGTTTGTGTTTGTGGGCGCCGACAAGAATGCACGGAGCCACAGGCTGGGCTCCCGAGGCTACTGCTGTTGACCATCAACTCTGTCTTATCTGGCCAGGCGTGTAAACATGGCGGGCTCCGTACCACACACGTGGATAAAGGATGGTCTCTACCAGATCCAGACCTCCTAAAAGTGGCCCGGGCACACCCCCCAGACGCTGGGAGCCATCACACAGGATTCAGACTGACAGGGTCCCACTCAGCACATGCAGCGACTTCCCGTGTAGGGTCTCTGGTACGAGACCCAGGCAGGCAGCATACAAGGGGACAGATAGAGCAACATTCCTCTCTGAAAGGGCTTTAGGAATTGGTCCAGCGCGAAAGAGGAGGTGGGGGCGGGAGGTGGGGGGAAGCCACGGGACCTCCCCCCAGCTGGTCCCAAAGGCGGGGCCCCTCCTCCCAGGGGCTGCTGCCCCTGTGTGTCCCTGGGAGCCCAGCGTGGATGATAAAACTCATCGACTGGAACGCGCCCGCTGAGCAGGCGTGCAGCAGAGGTGCGGCTAGCACCAGTGGTCTTGGTCGGGGTGGTGGTAGCTATGCTGAACCCGGCCGCCCGAGCTGAGCCCCAGAGTGCAGTGGTAGCCCTTGGGCACGTGGCGGAGGGGGTGCGACTGGGAGGTCAGAGAGGACACATAGGAAGTCCGGGAGGAGCGGCCCGAGTTGTTGGCCACAGCCTCCTCGAAGGTAAGCGTGTCCTCGGGCTGGGTGCGGGCAGTGTCCTCACTGTCCAGACGTTGCCCCAAGTAAGGGTCAGAGCCGATTCTAGAGCCGACGGCCAGGGGCTGGCTGAGGGGGTCTCTCTGGAGCAGAGCGTTGTGTTCGGAAAGGCCATGGCTAAGCCGGCCTGGGGAAAAGGTGGGGAGGCTGGTCTGTGCCCCAGCAAAGTGGACAGGCGCAGAGTTGGCCGTCTTGTAGGTGACACTGGGACGGGGGGTCAGCGAAGTCTGGGGGAGCTGCCTCCGCCCACCACGGTCAGGGATGCTAGCACTGGATGTTGACAACAAGGGGTTCCCGTTCACTGAACCACCACCCTAGAAGCAAATAGAACAGAGAAAAAAAAATCAAAGTCCCAGACCAGAGGCCAATGCAGGTGGAGGGGAGAAGCCGCTGGTGCCGGTAGGCCTGGGGAGGTGGTTGGGAAACAGTGGGTAACAAAGGGACAGGCACAGCTCGGGGAGAAGGGAGACAAGAGGCCATTCCAGGGCAGTTGGGAGGGGAGGATCGGGCTGGTGCAAGAGGAATGGAGCAAGGAGGGGGGGAGCGCAGACTCGGGCCTGGGAACCAGGACATGAAGGAGGATTCGGAGCATGGTGGGGGGGGCTCATAAGGAGGGGCAGTGAGGGGGGTCCTGTCTTACCGGTCTTGGGGGTCATGGCTCCTGCCCAGCTGCTGGTGACGTGGGGTGGCTGCTGAGGGAGGGTTTGGGCTGCGAGGGCTCCCGGCCCCCAAAGCGGTCACAGGAGTAGAAACGCTGCTTCTCCGAGGAAGAGGAAGAGGGCTGCCTCCGTTCTTGGGACCTGCCCCGTTCCTGTCTACGCTCTCTCCGGCAGCCTGTGGGCCCCTCTCCCGGGGTTGGGCCTGGCCCTGCAGCACTGCTGGGTGCTGGCCAGAAAGAGCGGAAGTCAGCACAGCGAGCCAGGTGGGGAGACAGACCCCCAGCCCAGACCCGGTAGACAGGGCCAGCAGGGGGACCCAGGGGGGAGCTGAGGTGCCTGGGTGATCCTGCCTGGTCCCCAGACCTTGGACTCACAGCCCCCTACTCAAAAAGAATCCTCTGGCATTAGGTTTTCAAATTGATCATTAACTTGGAAAGAACTAGTTACTGAAAACAAGGCACTGCACCAAATGTCAGCACTATGGTGAGCGCCCCTTCATGGACCTCTGGCACCTCGAAGCCAACACAACACTTCCTGGCCTACCTCACCCAGCACGTGCCATCCCAACCTTCCCTGATTCAAGAAATGGGGGCTTCATCCCGTTTCTTAGGCCAAATATACTGCAGGCATCCCTGCCTCCATTCCTTCTCACCAGCTTCATCAGCTCATCTACCTTCAAAAACCAGCTAGACTCTTACCACTTCTCAGCACCCTGGGCTAAGCAACAACAACCTCCCCTGAGCTGCTGCAATAGCTTCCTCACCGATCTTCCTGCTCTGCCCCACCCAAGAGCCAAATGGGCCCACTAAACACAGGTGAGATCAGGTCACTTTTCCTCTCAGTGACCCCTCACTCACTGCAAAAGCCAAAGTTCACACAACTGCCCATAGCTCTGTGAAACTCTCAGCCTGCTCTTTTACAGTAGTCTCTGCTCAGTCCACTCCAGCCACACCAGCGTCTGCTCTTTCCTGAACACACCAAGAACAACCCCACCAGCCTGAGCGGCCACCCTGGAGGACCTTTCTTCATGGACTTTTGTCCCTGGGTATGCAGCCAGCACGATGGCCAGATGTGCACTAGACAAGCAGGCAGACCAGAGGCCTGCCCCCCCCCCCGACACTGGGGTGTGCCTGCATGGTCAGTGCTCAGCACAAGTTGAGCCCACTTCCCATTAACAATGGCTAGGAATAGCCATTGTTTTCCTGCAGGGCAGCTGTCCAATGCCAGGCCTGACTGATACTGGTGCTCACATGTGACACAGAGACCAGGGAGGAAAAGAGATCTTTGAGCACAAAGACTTAAAACTAAGGCTGGTTTCATAGGCCTGCCTCAACTCTTGTAGCACGAGGCAGGACATTAATAAATGAAGAGATGAAATGAATGTAATAGCTAAAGTCCAGAGAAATGATGTCATTTGGAGAAAGTGTAGGACTAAGGATACTTGTCCATCTGATAAAAAAACAAGAGTCAAAAAACTCTCTCCAGGCAGCTTAGCTACGCAGATCGGTCTGATCTCCCTCCATAAAAAGTAGAACATCCACGGGCCCTGGAATGCATCTGCCTGGGATTAACTGTGCTGGGTATCTCCCAGCACAGGCCTTACAGCATCCTGGTGCATCTGCATAAACAAACACGTGTGTGGGCACCTCAAGAAGGAGCCCCAGGCAGGGTTTTATGTCAGCACCCCTCCTCCACAAGTCCCTACAAAGAGCTCCTTTCTTCCCTCCTAGGGTCATGTGGTGGGCTTGCCTTAATGAAGGGGACCCTGGAGGCAGTGAGACACACTCACCCCCTCCCCACAGCCCCCAAACCAGGATGGGCCACAGAGAGTGTGTCACATCTCAGAACAAACGCTGACGTGCAGCCCTTTGGAGCACACAGGGAGGTGCCTGAGCCAAAAACAAGCTACTCTGCCTGCCTTGGATCCTGGGCCTAGGGAATTGCAGTCCTGTCAGCCACGGGGCAGGTGGAGGCACTCACTCTGGCCAGTTGAGTTCCTTGGGTCCCTGAGTAGCACACTCTGTGTCCCCCTGCCCTGCCCTGCCCCCGCCCCCAGCCCCGATCCCACAGACCCTGCAGTCAACAAGGTGAGCAGATGCAAAGTCTATGGCCAGCACACCAAAAAAGGCCCTGCTGGACACCTTCTGTCCTCCCAGACCCTTGACTGCAGCTTCACCAGAGGCCTTCTGGCCAACCCCAGGGATCTGAGCTGAGGTGGTCAAGGCCAGCCTCACCTGGGGCTCTCAGGTTGACCTCCCTCATGGACTTCCCTTCCATCTGTCCCGAGGCCCAGGAACCCTTAGGGAAGGAAGGAGGAAGAGGGGAGAAGAAGCTGGGAAGGCCAATGAGGGGAAGCCAGCATGAGCTGGTGTCAGAGGGGGTGGCCCTCTGGGTCAGCACACGCCCTGTCCCTCCTGAACGGAGGAGCCTCTGAGCCTCCACTGACTCCCCAAATAACACACCTGAACAACAGCATCAAGGCTTGCATAAACGTCCTGAAGTTGTTGTGCCGGTTGATGCTGGTGTCATCATCCAGGACAATATTTCCAAAAACCTGAAATGAGAAAGAAGGCTGCAGGCTGGTCCTGTTGGGCCCTCAAGAGCTGTGGCCAGGCAGAAGAGGATGTGTGCAACATGAGGACCCACAAGGCACAGGACGATGCGCTTAGCCACCACCATTGTGGCAGGGGCTGGAGGGACCAGCACTTCCAGCCAAACACGTCACTGCCCGCACCCCCCCCCCCCAGCTCCGCTTGTCTACACACGCAAGTCCGCATGCTGAGTAAAAATGTCACCCGGAGCTAAGTTTACATGGGCTGCACTATATATAAGACAGGAAGCATTTGAAATTTCACCCTGTCATCAATGACGCCGAAGGAGTAATTTTATTGGTAACAGCTATGAGGTCAACTTGAAAGTTTCTTTCAAAATTTCTGTGAAAATATCACAATGGGCTTTCTATCCATTTTAATTGATTTAATTTAGGGTTAAGAATGCAAAGAAGTCAATAACTGTACTTGGCTTAAAATCTGGAATCTGTCTGAAAAATTTATGAACTATCACATATTCACCAAAAACAAAGATCAGTGACCCTTCTGGTCTTATAAATTCCCAAAACAAAGCAGGCACAAATATATATATTTTTTAAATACCATCCGATCTCAGCAAATTTTAAAGGAAGAGAACATTTTCAATCCCTAAAGTAGAGTTTAAAAATCACTTTTCAGCTAACCTTTAAGACAATGGCTTCTCCCACTATAATTTAACATTTGGATCCATCTGCCATCCTACTGTTGAAAAGTGGCCAGATGCCAAAGATTTAATACTGGAACACTGCTTTGTCTTTTAAATGTTTTTCCAAGTAGCTGACAAAGGGTTCTTTGGCAAAATAAAGGCAATCTAACTTATCCAAGCTAAACTTGACAATACAGTGATCTGGTGTGATCCTGTTGAATTTTTTCTTCTGTAATATATAACTTCCTGTAAAGGATCAGGTCAACTCTCTGGACTAACAGAATGACCAGTGGGTGCTTTGCAGGCCACTCAGCACCAGGCAGATGTGCTCAAAAGCTCCACCACCATGGGGGCCCAGCACCCAATCAAACATGCCCATCAATACCCTAAAAGCCCAATGGGGTTCCACTCAGGAGCACAGCAGAGCATTTTCCCACAGACGGTGGAGCTATGCCTCACTAGTGGACTCTGAGTGACAAGCCCAAACCCATGGTGCCCAGCCTCTGTGTCCTTATTGGTAGAACAGCCTTTCTGAGAATTAAGTTCATAAAGTGCTTCAAACATAGAAATGTTCCCCAAGTGCCAATCTGTCATTGATACCATTTGATGACCATGATCAGTGCCCTTCTGCCCCAGGGCCCAGGGGCCCCTTCTGTTCCCTGTCCCATCAGGCGCACCCACCTGCATGCCGATGATGGCGTAGATGAAGAACAGCATGGCGATGAGCAGACACACGTAGGGCAGGGCCTGTGGAGACATACAGAGGACAGGGCAGCTCCAGGGAGGGCTGCCCAGCTACCTTGCTCGGGCCTCGTCTGCAGAGTGGATGGTGGCCGGGTCTCTGGGGCCACCCAGACCCCAGCAACCGCAAATCCACCCCCACTGACCATGAAGCCCCTCCACCAAGAGACCGCCTCAGTTCCTTTTCCATATTCAGTCATAGAACCCACCTCAGAGTCAGTGAGAATTACCAAGATGTTCTCTGGATCACTTAAAATGTCTTTGTAAACTACAATAAGATAACGGGTGCCAACAAGGAGCCTCCACGAGGAGGGGCTGCTCTGGTGGCGAGGAGGAGGTGGTGGCCACAGCACTGTGCATCACACAGGGGAGGGTCAGGGCACGAGGGCCGTGCCTGGGCTTCACCTTGAAGGACTGGACGAAGGTCCACAGCAGGATGTGGATGGTGTAGCCTTTGCACAGCAGCTTGATTAGCCGGGTGGCACGGAAGAGGTGGAGAAAGCTGAGGTTGATGAAATTGTTCTGTAGGGAAGAGAGGATGTTCTCTAACCTGCGGAGACCAGCCTCCTGCAACTGCAGGTGCTGCTCCCCACCCACCTCTCCCTGGCGTGCTGTGGTCCCGAAGAAAAGTGCATACAAAGAGAGATCAAACAAAACGTCACTGCTCTATGGTATAAGCAACAATCGGCCACCAGAAAACCTTCCAAAAGTAAAGCTTGTCATTGCAAATCACTTCTCATGCAGGAAATCAAAGAAACACCTCCGCTTTAGGCTCCCCTGACCCAACAGGGAGGGAGAGAGAGAAAAATTCTCAGAAGCAGCTCCTTGCTGCCAGGTGGAGCCAGGAGACCAACTGTGGATGGGCCTCTAACACTGACCGCCTCTTGCAAGACACAGCCAAGCCGTCCAAGTGCCGGGCAGGGCTGCTTCTTCACCGAGAGCCTCTGAAGGGCCCTTCGCTTCTCCATACGGCTAAGAAAGCCCCTGCTGCCTGGGACCTGGCAGAGAGGCAAACATCTCTTCTGAGGCTGCTCCTGGTGCTACAGACAAGTCTCCATAGGAACGGTAAGTGTTGGCGATCCTGCTGCCCACACCACGGAAGCTACTTATGAAATCCGAAAATGGTTTCAACTCCAGAGATCCCAGGGTATCTAGCACTGCTCGCTCATCCAAGAGGTTCAAAATCAAGCACAAAAAGAAGCAATAAACTCTGGACTCCACAGATTACCTGGGAGGGAGGCTTCCACCCTAGCCCAGGGGCGCCTTGAGTTATTGGCACATCCCTTTCAGGGAGCATGGTTGTGGACGGTGTCCATGACGTGGGGTGCTTGTGGCCCTGGGCAGTCTCCCACCCTCTGTCTGCTTGGAGACCAGGTGCCCGCACGCAGCCTGAGAGCAGCTTCCTGTCACTTTTGTGTTTTAACTTATGCAAGCAGTTCAGGCCTAGACACATCCTATCACCAGATTCAGTGGTCAGATGAAGAGAAAAGAACACGACATGTTGAATGAGAGCAGCAGTAGGAGAGCACGTGCAGGAGGCATGGGGAGCCTGGGGAGAGCTGGCCGCCCTCCCTCCAGGGCTGCCCATCTGCTCTAGGCTCGGCAGAGGCCTTTGGTGGAGAGGCAGGTCTCACTCTTACTTCTAAGGACAGTGGCCCCAACCCAGCCCTTGTCTGCCTCTTCAGTTCCCACAGGGGCGGCTGGAGACTACACTGTCTCTGTTGGAGGGCTAGATGTCGGAGCCATGGGGTGGGAGGTCTGGTAGTCACAAGGAGGTGCTGACTGTGATCCAGATCAGCAAGAAGGCAGGAGTGGACCTTGAGGTGTGACCCTGGAGGGCAAACAGTTTACCTAGAGCTCCCTCACCTGCTTGTGCTGGGGAAAGAGAATCTCAGTGGTACAGGATGGCCAAGAGACATCCACCCCTGCCCCGTGGGCCCCACTTTCTCAAATGAGCCAGTCACCTCGGGAGGATGGGCACAGAGATGGAAGGGAGACTTTGTCTACAGTGCTGGGAAATCCTTTGTAAAGACAATAAAGCAGAGGGACAGGAGGGAGCTTCCAAAGGCCCGGCCTCTAAAGCACCTGCTCACTTGGGTCTGGAGGGGCCAAGACTGTGATAACACAGTTATCTTTTGCCCAGCCCAAAGCGCTCTGCTCAGGCCACTGGCACAGACGAGAAGATTTCCTGGAGATATTGGGGAAAATCGAGGCTCTGAGTGAGAAAGAAGGGATGGAAGACAAGGCAGGGGAAGGCACTGTCCATCCACATGGTGCATGAACGCAAAGCTCAACAAGTCACCTGCTACGTTTTATTGAGACTCAAGTTCTCACCCCTCCT